AGCCAGTGAAGGGACGCAAGAATAGGTGTAATATGTGACAGTCAGCTATTTTTTGTTAGCAGTCTTTCAAACAAAGGTCTTGCTGCATTCTGTACTAACTGGACATGAGTTGTGGAGGACTGAGAAACGCACCTGAAATGTAAACTACAGTAAGCAAGGTGGGAGAATATTAAAATTTGAACTAGAAGTTTCAGATGACTGAATGACAGTAAAAGTTTAATTTCAACAATGTTGATTTAAAAGCTGGTTAATGTTAAATGAACTAAAATGAAGATAGAAACCTAGGAACCACCTCCAGTACCTGGAGGAGTGAACAAGACTCCACGGATGTTCCCTTCATTGACGGGGACCCTGGTGACCCCATCTCTCATTAGAAGCCTCTCATTTATCATCTCTGCCAGTAATCTGCCCTCCTCCTCATGCACAGAAAACTTCACCACCTGGGGGTTTATGGCATTTGTCTTTAGATATATTTTGTGCATGGTATGTGGCCTCATGGAACACAGCAGACCCATGGGTTCTACTCCAACGTAGCTCCCACCTAGCGAGGGGTCTCTTCTCAGGTCGACCTCCCCACTGCCATCAGCCCTGTAGGTGGCTGAGGAGCTGAACACCACTCCCTTGTCATCAGTTAATTTGGCTCTCATGTTGATAACCTGCCTTGGCCTCAGCCCGGCGACCTTCACCTGAATGGGCTCATCAAACATACATTTGATGCTTGGCAGCAGCTTCAGTCTCACTTGAGAGGACATCTTTTCTGAAAAAGAGAAAAAGATTGGACTTTATGAACGTAAGATAAAAAGTCCCCTTACACAATACTTTTTGTAAGAAATTTCAGAGACAGATCGATCCATATTACATTACATTATGTTTATTAATTACACCAACAACCCACTTTCCCAGTTTGGGTCTGTGTGCAGGAAATCCAAATCCAAACTCCACTCAAAAAATGTGCCAGTTTAAATATGTATCATTAGCAAGCAACCACATTACAAGTGCCCACTGTACTCTCTGTCAATAATGTTAGTACTAGATCCATTTCAGACAGTAGCAGTAATATTTTACACTGGGCAGCAAACCAGCACAGTAGGATCTTCCAGAGTGAGACAGAAACTCTGTGCCCTATTTTTGGTTAATTTTTAACAGCTCTTGCACAGCCACTGTTAGTGTGATACCTTTGCACCAGATACCCTCCCATGCACCCATCAGTAAAGACGTCTTTCTAGTTAAGTAAATGGTTTGCATGGATTTCCATTAAAGGTTTTTTTTAATGTTCAGTACAATTATTCAGTCACTCGTTGAACTTCAGGCAGTTTTGATTCCCGTTTTCATGATCACACAACCATTTCAAAATGTGAACATCAATTTCAAAGTGATATTTCTCTTCCATTGTTTACAATTAAACTTTTAAAAACATTAAATCTGAATAGATGTTGATGAGGACAAAAGGTCCCAAATCCATGACATCAATGCACAGTCACAATTAATTAAAATTTAATAAGACTTGCAAGGTGGTAACACAAGCTGACTGGAAATAACAGAGGCACAAAGAGTCCAGGATAATCAGGAAAAAGTGATCCAGTGTTTATTGTTGTGGAAGCAACATACAGTCCTGCCTGGCAGGATGATGTGTTCACAGAATTTGATATATATTCTGTCATGCAATCAGTTAAACCAGGGGTAGGCAACTCCAGGCCTCGAGTGCCAGTGTCCTGCAGGGTTTAGATCTCAACCTGGGTCTCGCACCTGAATCAAATGATTAGTTCACTACCAGTCCTCTGGAGAATGTCAAGACACGTTTAGGAGATAATTTAGCAATTTGAATCAGCTAAAACCTGCAGGACACCGGTGGGAATGGATGTTTGTATCTGTGTGTGCCTGTATGTCTGTGTC